AGTTAGAACTTCCCTCAAGATCAAAAATAGAAAATACGAAACCATGAGAAATTCACCTAAACAACTTTGTAATGCATTATTTGTTAGATACATATGAGAAAAATGTTTTAAGAGGAGTCTAGAAGACTCATATAATCTAAGTTTGTCTCGTAGGGAAATAGTCGAGTTAAGTCCAACAAACCATACAAACCAACAATTGGGTGTTTTATGAAGACAACTAAGTGAAGGCTTGTCTACCTTGGGCACCACCAAGGAAGTAGCACAAGAAGTAGGACTAAGTGAAGTCCACTTCTTCTTCACTAATTCTTGAAGTTGAGATTCTTTTTCTTTAAAAAGGACTTGTTTTTGAACCTCCACTTCATGACTAGTGGCAACATGAGAGAAAGAGTTAAGGTCTTGATGAATGAAAAGAGTCTTTTTTAAATCATTTTCAATGGTAAAGTGACTCTCTTTAAGCATAAGCCCTTTGGAAGAAATATTATCCTCCTTACTTTTCATTAAGAGTGTTGGTTGTTGTTTTTTTTGTTCTAACCACTCTTTAATCCTCTCTATACTTTTCTTCTTTTTTTCTTTCTTTATCATTTGAATTTTCTTTTCTTTTTCTTTTCTTCTAAGTTCTTCCTCTCTTTTTGTATTTTCTTCCTCATGCATACTCTTAGGGATTCTAACCCCTTTGGCTATTTGAGACCTATTTGGAACAACCCTAGGTTTGGAGCTACTAGTTTCTCTCCCCTCAACTAATTTTGCAAGTAATTGTCTTATTTCTTCATTATTCTTTCCATTTTTTTCCCCTCTTTCTAATTTCTTCCCCTCTTTTTATGTTTTCCTCTTCTTTTTTTCTTTGCTACTCTTTTAATTCCCTAAGTTCATCTCTAAGACTAGGTCTACTACTATGAGAGTTATGCATATACACACTAGAATGATATGAATGATTACTCATCTTTGTTCAAGAAAGGTTTTCTCAAAAGAGTTTGAAAATTTTCATAAAGAGTGAGTAATAAAGGATTTTCACAATTGTTTTAAGGTTCATGCAAGATTAGTACAAAAAGGCCTAAGTGTACAAATTGAACTATCAAGGGAGGTGGACTACAAGGAATCACTTAAAAACCAAGCTTTTTCAAGTAAAAATCACTAAGCCCTCTTACACTTTTCTTACAAAACAATTTTTGCACAAGAATTGAGTGTGTGTGTGTGTGTGTGTGCACGACCCCCTAGTAGGCAAAATGAAGCCTTCTAAACAAAAATAAGCAAAGTAAAAGATCCTAAGCAATTATACTACTAAAGCAATAAAGCATGCAAGGAAAGCAATTAAAACATGTGCTAGTCGGATTCCCTAGGGTGGGAGCTTGAAGTGACCTTTGTGGTATTCAAGCTACTCCCACAAGCACTACTTGAATTACCCTAAAAAATACTTGGTTTAAAGAGCCCAATTACAAACCAAAATCAATGAAAACAAAGGCCAAAAATACAAGTGGCCAAAAAATTGCACTAAAGAAACAATTAGTAAAAACAAGTCTTCAAGTCTCCAACTTGCTTCCCTTCACAAAGAACACCCAAAGTTGGTCCTCTCCTTGGTGTTTTCTCTCTTAGTTTTTGTGTGATCTTCCAAAGCACCTTGGACACCAATTCGGACAGCCCCTCCACTCAATCCACCAAGAGAGTGTGTGGTGTTTAGAAGCTTTCCTCACCTAGGTCAAGAAGAAACCAAAACCAAGAGTACAAGAGGCCAAGGAATAAAAACTAAAAAGGCACAATTAAAAGTGCTAAACTCAAGTGGAGATTGATGAGACAAACTTAAGAATAGAAGAAATACTCAAAAACTAAAATTAAGGCACATTAAAGAAAGGCAAGCACTCAAAATATTAAGTCCTAGAATGGCACCAAAATGGAATTCAATCAAATAGGTCTAAAATGAATAATGCACTTAATATGTTTGAATAAAGGTTTCATACAGCCATACAATCTTTGTTCAAAGCTCCAAGAATAACTCTATTGCTAAGGCAGGAAAATTTTGTTCCAAGGTCCACAAGTCTAGCAAAGGTTCCCTTTTCCTTGTTTCTGATTCTTTTGTTCTTTTCTTATGCTTGACGAAGCCTCGGTTTTGATGTCAAAGGTCTAGCCACTTTTTTTATATACTAAAGTCCTCCATTTTCTTGGGTTTTACACTTGTGTCCAAAAATGTATTAGCAAAAATTTTAGGAGTATCCTTTTAATATCTTGTAATGGCTTAATGAGACAACAACTTGAGTGATTTTTAAAACTTTTAATGCGAAAATGTCCAGAAGTAAAATGTGCACATAAAAATCACTCTCATGCTCAAATCATCATACAATATATAGGCATATCAAGTGCACAAGGGAATACACAAAAATGGTCGAAAATTTTTAAGCAAGTATGTGCAAAGAAATTAATCACACATGATATTTAAGTGATGTAGAACATGCTAGAACTAATTATCATGCATGATTGACTCTCTAAAGCACACTAGAGACTCACGACCATTTCCTCAAACAAGTGGCATGCATGTCATTTTTTTTATCATTTCAAGGTTTAAGCATTGTACCCTCCGAGTCTCCAATTTTCCGATCTGACCGATCAATGTCTCCGCCTTGATAACACATAAGCTAGGAGGGTTTGTGTACCCTTCTGGTCTCCAATTTTCTGAGCAGTCGAACAAAATATATCTTCTTGATCCCCATCCGACCGAACATCCCGAACTTTAGGCTAGTCATAGGTGTATCGATGAGTGAGTTTCGGTAAAACTAATCAAGGTTGTGATTTCCGTGATTCTTGTGTAGATTTGATTATGATCATAAATGCGGATCGTAGGCTCATTAGAGAGAGGGATCCGCACACATTTAAGGGAATGAGGATCAATGATCCGAATCACGTGTATGTGACCCATATAAATAAGGAGAAAGGGAACTGGTGAAAAGTAGGTTATTCTCATTCTTCAATGTTCTAGGTCAGGACGACGGCTAGGTTCTCTTAGAGTTTACATCACTAAGGGTTCTCTGGCTGCTATCCCTTTACTAGAACATTTTGGCGCCCACCGTGGGGCACAGGTAAAACTGTATCTCACACCTTGGTTTCCTAATGTGGACGGTGGTTCACGATGACAAGGCCACTAAGAAGCAATGTCGGTGTAGGAGGAGGCAATGTCAGTACAGCTGGTGGTCCTAATGTTGCTGGGGCAGACAAAGCTGACCCTCCTCCTATGGATGAGCCTACATTACGGGAGATCATGGCTACCATGGAAGCTTTGTGAAGGAGAGCAGAAGATGCAGAGAGACAACAAGAAAAAAGTAGGGACGCAATGCGGCGTGAGAACGAGGAGTATCGGAGAAGAGCAGAAGAAATAGACGAGGCACTGAGGGCACAGATCATAACGCTAAGCCATGAAAATAGGGAGGAAGGAGCAGAACCTCCACGAGCCTTCCAACCTTTCTCAGAAGTTGTTGAAGGAGAGGTGATCCCACAACATTTCATTGCTCCAAAAATGCAACCCTTTGACAGATCACAAGACCCAGATGAGCATTTGATCACCTATAGAGCACACATGCTAATCAATGGAGGGAATGATGCAATGCAATGTAAAATGTTTGTAAGCACACTCACGGGTATTGCATTAAAATGGTTCAGTCGATTACCTGATGGTCAATAACCGATTTCAATGTTCTATCGCGAAAGTTTGTCACCCAATTCGCGACTAATAAGATCAGTCCTCCAACAATAGCCAATCTGTTAGATGTTCATCAAGGATCGGGTGAAACTCTAAAGGAGTAGTTAACCAGGTTTAATCAAGAAGCTGCTAAGATCCCCGACACGAATGAAAAAATGCTCATTGTAGCGTTAAGGAAAGGCTTAAGGTCGGGACCCTATGGTGAATCACTAATTCATAATGCGGTCAAAACCATGACAGAAGCTCAGTCTAGGGCAGTGTATTACATAGAAGCTGAGGAAAGCGAGATGAGAAAAAGAAAGATGGAGAAACAGGTGATCATGAGTGCTAAGCCCTCAGGTGGAAGTCAATACCTAAAGCCTAGGAATAGTTGGGTCAAGAGGGAAGGTTATACGTAAAGAAGGGAGGAAATTCATGGTGTACCAAGATATGAGGAAAGAAGAAACATGGATGAAATAAAAAATCTAACCCCTCTTAGTACCTCTTATAGACGAATGTTGAAAGATGTCAAAGTAACTCGGCTGTTAAATTTTCCTCAAAAGGGAAATCAACAGTTAGGTCCGAATGAAGGAAGTTGGTGTGAATTCCATCAAACAAAAGGACATGATACCGAAGACAGTTTTAACCTTATTCAACAAACGGAGCAATTGATCAAAGATGAACACCTCATGGATTATATCAAAAAGAGAGGCAAAACAGATGATAGAAGGGAGCTTTCGCATCAGCGATCAAGGGGATTCAGTTCATCTCGGCAAAATGATGAACACGAGCATCCAGTGTTAGGAGATTTAAATACTATCGTTGGTGGGTTTGCTGGTGGTGGATCTACCTTGATGGATTCCTCCTTCCATGAATGACGTAGGGATTGAAGGAAGAAAGCCTTGGCCCTTGATCTAGGTTCAACAAGGTAGACAAAAGGAAGGTGTATGGTGAGGAAAAGGAAGTTGGCGTGAAAATGATGGTGTTTGGGCGGAAGCACTTAGGGTGGTGGTGTTTGGGTGCTCAAAGTTGGCTCACTCCAAGGTAGGTGGAGGCCACTCTAGGTTTCCTACTCTCCAAGGGTGGAGATAGGAGGGGGATAGCCGAAACTTACCCTAGGGACTAAGGATGAGACGTTGAGGCATAAGAATGCTCACTCAAAATCTATATAATCCAAAGTAT